CCCCATGCCAGCCTCCCCCCGCGACACATCTTACTGGGGGTGGCAGCCTGGGTTTCTTGGGGAGTTTTGCTAGTCGGGGTGGGGGGATTTGGCACGAGAGTGGAATGGGGGTGCAGTGAAAGGGGGTGGAAGGGGAGTGGGGCCTAGTGGTTGGGAGCAGGAGTCCGGGCTGTGGGAGCCACGGCCCGTCAGTTCCAGTCAGGCTTAGAGGGGCTGCGTGCAGGGGCCTGGTTGTAAGGGAGGAGTGCCGAACCCAGTAAGTGGAAGGAGGGGATGGGTTTACCTCTCGCCTGACAGTGTTTGGCCGGGCAAGGTTGGACCAGTGAGAAGCCCCCACCTCCTGCCATGTGCTTGGCCTCTGGGTTTCTCCTCTGCAGCCCAGCTGGTTCCTGGAGCTGGGGTTGAGTTTCCTGGCAGGGCCATGCAAGAGGTGGGAGGGGGGGTCCCGGCTCTGTCGGAACACCCCCCGGGGGTAACATTGAGGTGGGGCCCAGCCCGGGCAGAGCAGGCGCTGGGGTTGGCGTGGGACGCAGAGGACAGGACCGTCCTTCGCCACCGCTGCGGATTCTAGCCCAGCACTTCCCCCCAGGTGGGAACTGACCAGGTGGGAAGTGAGGCTGATGGTCTCAGTTGCCCAGCGGGGGTGCTCGGGAGAGGCGAGAGCAAGACCCCGGCACATTTCTCCTGCAGCCTTGTGCTGACATGAATCCAAAGAAACCACCTGCTGTTGCATTTCACCCCCAACCGCTTAAGGCACTGGGGAGAGGGTTGGTCAGGCCACTAAGCATGTGAGTGTCACTGCCCTCTACTGGCTGCAATCAGCACTGCGGTGCCTCTGTGTGTCATGGCCCCTATACTGCTAGCAGGGGGTTCTCCTTTGGTTCTGGTGGCAGGTGGAAGCTGGGCCTTTGTATAAGTGCCACTGGGTGGATTTGAACCTAGGACCTCTGGAGCCCAGTGCAGGAGCCTCTACCGCTTGAGCTAAAAGTCTGCTGCCTCTCCGCTTAGGCTGTAGTGCTCACTCATTTTTATCTCTCGCTGTAAGTGGCCTAAGTGTCACTCCCTGGGACACTGCCCACACCCTAGGTGTGTGGGCTACATTTGCAGCAGAAATGCTTGCTGTGTTGCTTGTTGTAACGGAGCGTGGGTGAGTCACTGGGCCCTGCGCCCCCCTCCACAGCCAGACGGGACTGTCAGCCGGCAGGTGCCACAGAAGGTTCATTCATTGCTGGGGACACAGCGTAGCACAGACTGGTTGTTACAGGAACCAGCACCATCCAGTACAGTCCATCTTGGGATGGGGGGCCCCAGCTGGAATCCCCCCTCCCTAAAGCAGCCGACAACTAACACACCCAGCAACTGGTCCCAGCCGTCTAGGCAGACCTGCCCCCTCCTTTCTCCTGCTTCCCGGGCCCCAGGTGTTATCTGATGATCACTGGTTGCATCTTCCCCCTCGGGTCAGGGGACAGGCCAGTCCGGGCCATTCCTGAAGTTCTCCCCCAAAGGTCCCACCCCCCGCTGGGCACTGCACCCCCTGTGACGGACCGGGCCGGGTCTGAGCACGGCTGAGCGCATCCACTCAGGGCAAAGTGCTCAAACTCGGGGCTCCTTACAGCCCCAGACCGCGGACCTTCCCAAATAGGCCACAGACCAGTCACACCGAGCGCTCCAGCTGCCAACCTGGCCAGCCAGAAGCCTCATGCGCAAAACCCCTCTGATACCCCAGCTCTCCCTGTGCCCCAATCAGCCCCAGGCCTAACACAGGTGAGGGGTTATAGAGCCCAATCTCACCTACCCTGGCCGGGTTCTTTTGGTCCCAGGAAACCAGCCACAGTTCCCAGGTCAATATACCCTCTGGATCTTACCCAGAAGATCACGCCGAGCCAATCCTTTAGAATCTAGAATCTAAAGGCTTATTACTAAAAGAACGAAAAGCATGAGAGTAAGGTTGTTAAAGGATAGTACATTACATGCATCGAATCTCCCAGTTCTCAATACAGGCTCTAGCAGAGATGTGATAACTGTTGGCCTAAAAGTCTTTGGTGTACATCCTGTGTCAGGATGGGTCCACAGTTCTTTCTGGCTCGTGGTTCCCTGCAAGGCTGCCTCTGGGATCAAGAGCTGAGCTGAAGACCAGATGGAGGGTGCCACATGGCCCTTATATACCTCCCCTGGCATCTTCGCCGGAGCAGGTTACTGCAGGTCACATGGTCAGACAACCTATCCCTGCGTCCCATGCTGGTTTGCAGGTATCAGTCACGTTCCTGAGGTGTGTATTGGCACCTAGAGCCTCGTTGTCCCCTTGCTAATTAGCGTAGCCATTGGCCGAGCATTCCTTGACAGTTTTCCAGCATCCATACAGAATACATGTTTATAACTCCACATACAGATATCCTACAAGTACATGAATAGCAGATACAGAACCAGCAGAACATGAGCTTTCATTCAACATCTCACATGACCCCTTTTGTACAGACTTTTGGGGCAAACACCCCCCTATGGATGCAGCAGTGATCTGGCTGCTCCCCTTAAAATCCAGTAACGTGACCCCCCCCAGTCAAGACAGAGAAGCACAGGACAGAAAAATCACACACGGCACCGCAACGCAAGCCAAGGGAACACAAAAGCGAGGGACTGCAGCAGTGAATACCGTCCCCACGACGTCCCATTTGCGCTGAAAGGAAGGGAACGTGCACAGTCCGGGGGCTTGACCTCGGCGCTTTGTGCGGGTTCGAATCCAGCCAGCGTCAGCTTGGAGGACAATTATGCAAACTTTATGCAAATGTGGAGTCTGAGCATGCAGCTTCTGAGTGTGTGTGGGGGGGGTCTCCTGAGGACAGAGATTCCTCCCCCCCCCCAGAAACAGCCTTTGAATTGAGTGCCCCACATGGCAGCCGCTTCATCCCCTCCCTGTTTCTCCCTCTTGTGCAGCGAGCTGCTGGAAGAGCTGGAGAGCAGCAGCAGCGCCCATGCCATCGCCGAGTGCTTCGTGCAGCGGGTAAGGGTCTCCTGTGCTGCCCCCGCCCCCGCCAGCAGCCAGCTGTGGCCCCCTGCCTCTCCTGCCCCCTGGCGTGTCCAGGTGTGCGCTGCACAGCCCCTGTTCATTGCTGGCTGCAGAAGCCAGCTGAGGGTGGGAGTGGGCCAGGGCCAGGCCCAGCCTGGATCTTCTGCACCCCTCTGCCAAGAGAACTGGGCACCTCTCCCTCAGGCGTGGCTGGGGCATAGGGATAGAGTGGAGGGTTGAAGGGTAGGGCTAGGGTGGTGGGAAGAGGGGTAGGGATATGGATAGGGTGGAGGAATGGAGGGAGAGATATGGGGGATAGGGGTTGGGTGGGTGGTTGGGCGGTGGGTGGGGTGGATGGGGGGTATGGTAGTTGGTTGGATCATGGCTGGGGTAGAATGGGTGGTTAGATGGAGAGAGGGGTAGG